ACGACATTCAGTTCAGTACAGGCTTTGTTCCCTGGATCTTCGTAATCTACGGTCCCAAACTGAGAATTTGGGTAAGTCCCACTTGGCCCCTGGTTTTTGGGCAATCCACGACATTCAGGTCAGTACAACTTCGTTCCCTGGATCTTCGTAATCTACGGTCCAAAACTTATATAATTTGGGTAAGTCCCACTTGGCCCCTGGTTCTTGGGCAATCCACGCCATTCAGTTCAGTACAGGCTTTGTAGGATTGTAGGAATAGTAGGAACTCAGGATGCCGCGCTCGTTTCCTCGAGACCGGACAGATCCCCCGCCCTGTAACTAGACTGAACTGGTAGCCAACTTACCAGCAGGGCGACTGGTAGCCATCTTAGGAGTAGGGCTGGCTCGTCCGACCTACCTCCAACCTTCTGCCCGCGAACGCAGGCACAGAGAGGAGGTAGAGGTACTGGATGGTTTTTGTGAAATCCACGACGGCCGTGGTTGTTCGTGTCGAGAGCGTGGCCTGCTGGGTTCCGCACGCATGGCGTGACGCGGTCCGTCCACAGGAGTAGGAGTCGAATTGGTGGTCGGTCGGTCAATTGGTTTTCGGTTTCGTCCGGTCGTGTGGCTTTGGGCGGGGTGGGCCGCCTTTGTGTTGGCCGGAAAAGGCTTGGGGGGGGTTAAGTTGGGAAGCCAGGCATATTGCTGAGGTTCGAAAATCGAGGTGAAGGACGCGAAACACGTGCCTTCCATAGCCACGCGCGGTCGCGACCGACGCTGTCCCCCATAGCCTTCTTTTTGCGGACGACGGCTCGCGGGGTAGCTTTCCTGCATGCCTCCAGCCCGTCCGCCTGCGCGCCCGCCTGTCCGCTCGCCATACCCTATTGCTCCCAATCTCGCTGCTATTGTGCGGCAGTCGTTGCGCGCGCGAGGGGAAGCGGAGGCAAGGTAGGCGAGGTAGGTTGTGAGAGGTTGGAGAGGGGCCGAGAAGCTAGGGGAGCGGTCGTCCTGGTCGTTCTTTTCGAGTTCTTGTTGGCAGCGAAGCACGGAGCGAGTCAGAGAGAAGAGCGAGGGAGGGGAAGAGGAGGAGCAGGAGAAGGAAGAGGAGGAGGAGAGAGAAGAGGGAGAGGCCGCCTGAGATGATCGAGAGGCCGTCAGCGGCTATACTCGCCTTGGCGTGATTGATTTCTATGTCTCAGGCCGGCAAGAAGAGATCGAGTAGCGTGGCGCACCAATCGACATCAGGTCCAGGAAAGAAGGCGAAAGGGCCGGCGGGAGTGGACAGCTTCGATGCGAGTGCTCATATGGTGTCGGGAAGCAACGCTAAGCTGATGGGGAGTGGTTTCGTTAGTTCCGCGTTTCTCGGCGATCAGCTGAATGATTTACACGGCACCTCAGGAGATATGATGATTGATCTGAAGCACCAGGCGGCGGGTGATGGGTTCGGATCCATTGGCCCCTTCGGCGTGGAAAGCAGCAGCGGACAGGCGGCAACGGCCAACCTGTCCCGAAGAAAGCAGACCCCGGCGCAGCCAGTCAAGAGGCCCATAATCAAGGCGTTCAGAGGTGTGTCCCGCAATTAGCTCCAGTTGTATCTCATTTTCTCAAACGTATTGCTACTGATGAATGACCTTCGTTGAGACCGCACGCATGTGCCTCCTATGTATGCATGGATGTATGCGTGCATGTTTGCGTGTTGAGGCTGCACGTCTCCACGTGTTTGTGGATGTATATGTGCAGTGCACAGGTAGGTGGCTTGTAAGTATCAGAGGCGGACACGTGTATCCTTGTGTATACATGAATAAATACACATGCAAGCAAATGCATTTTTCTAGGCTGTGTGAATACGTGATTAAGTACGGATGCATATGCTTGTAGGTCCATTGGATTACTCCAAGAAGCCCAGACTGCGCGGTTTTGCCAGAGTATTTGATAGGCCATGTGTGGTGAATAAAGAATCCCCCGTAGGCAGTTAAGGGCGCTAGGCTCCAGGAGGGAGAGTCCTCCTCGCTGGGGTCTTCGTCATCATCGATGGAAAGGGTTTGAAAGCGTTACCCGCGTGATGTTTGAGCGGTTGTCTCGTATTAGGTGTAAATAACTGCTTCTTCACTCTTGCGCGGTACCGGTGCGCCAAATGGTTGTGTGGGAGCATACACACACACACACACAGAGACAGACACAGAGAGAGAGAGAGAGAGAGAGAGAGAGAGAGAGAGAGAGAGAGAGAGAGAGAGAGAGAGAGAGAGAGA